GTAGTAACATTTGACCTAAAATTTAAGTAAAATTATGAACATAAGTTGTGATAACTTTTGTTTCATAACTCATTTGACTTCAAGACTTATGATACATATATTATATGATTCAAATACCTTAAAACAAGGCCTCTTGAGAATATTAGCACCCCTAGGTTTGCCCAAAAATACAGGTCACAACATCCTTGATTCGTTTAACTTCTAATACTTGTTAACCACCCTTATACACTCTTGTATTATTTAATACCAATAGGATTAACTTCATATTATCGCAAAGATAATCTCTTCTCAGATTTATGTCGACTAACTTATGGCATGAACCAACGTATGTGAATGTGGGTTGTAACAGTTCTTCGCAAACATGAAAAAGGATAATGGCTGCTTGATTTTATTGTTTTGAATTTGCGACTGATGTCTCGCGTTTGTGAAGGTTTGGATGGCAATGCTATGCGTTTGTAATGTTAGCTCCGCATTCACAATGAAGAACTTGGCCCGGGGCATTTAGATTTCGCGTCTCTGATGGCTTGGACGCGTTCACAATGGGTTAGCCTACTGAAGCTCTGCATTTACAAGACTAATCTTGCGTTCCTGTAGAAGAGTTTTGGGGCCAATGTTGGTTCATCTTCGCGAATGCGAGGTGCGTGCCACGTTCGCGATGAAGGGGTTGCCTGGCAGTGTATAAGTTTGGAAGTGAAATTTTGGGTTATGTTATGTCAAACCTTCCATGAGAGCCGAGCTTGGCGTGATTTTTGAAGTGCCATTTCATCATCCATCATGTGGTAAGTGAATTGCTACACATTGTGAGCGAAATACATGGTTTATATATGGATTAAAACATGGAAATTTGTAGAAATTGTGGAATTTTTGAAAAAAAAAACTAGAATTGGTATTCTTGTATTTGGACAAGAAATTCGACATGAAATTAGGAATATATTATATATATGAGTTCGTGGTGCTTTGAGTAATGTTTATCTTCAAAAGATTTCGGAACCTAGGCATTTGGGCCCGAGGGTTGACGTTGTTGACATTTTGAGTGGAGTTGGGATTTTTTATAAATTGTTAAATTAAGAGTATTGGAGTATATTTTGATTGGTTTGCATGTTGTTTGACTAGTTTCCGATCGATGGGCATCAGTTTGAGGTGTTAGAGAGGCGTTAGAGCATGTTATGGAACTTCAGAGCTAGTTAAGTCTCCTGTCTAACCTTGTTAGGGGGAAACTACCCCGTAGTTATTAAATTATTATGTGCTACTAATTGTGGGTGCTACGTACGCCTGAGGTGGTGAGAGTCTGTATATAGCTAAAAGGATATTTATGTCCTGGTAGACTTAGAACTTTATCAAGCAATATTTGTATTATTTGAACCCAATTTGTTAGTTTAATTACTTGAATTTATAACGTGAATTGATTTGGGATTATGTTAGACCAAGCTTCACCACCTTGAGTTATTTGACAAGATATTCGATAGTTAGTAAAAGTCATGTTTACTTTATGCTCCTGTTCTTGTGTTGCAAATACGTGGCCCGTAATTCGATAAGTTTCTTCTCTTCCTGTGGATCGGGCCGAACACCTGGCAGCATATTGAGATGCATCTATGGTTCACGCTGGTCGATCCTAGGCAGTGTACACACTATTCTGGATCAGGCCAGATGACCTTAGCATAACTCATGCGTAATACTAATAAGAGTCTGAATATTCATGAGATTTGCTTTTTGATTGAGATCTGTAAGTTACATGATAAGCCTTGTTTGTTTGAGATAACCCTTTATATCCCTTACCCATTTGAGGTATCCTTTGATTCTTCTATTTTTTGAGATAGTACACGAGATTTGAGAAATTTATGTTGTCATCAGGTTGGAGGATTAAGTTAATTACAGTTCTTACCTCATTATTACTATTATATTCCATATCTATTAATAATTTGTCATATTCATTTATCGGACCACTATTAAGTGACGATGTCGACCCCTCATCACTACTTTTCTAGGGTTAGGCTAGATACTTACTGGGTACGAATTGATTCACATACTCATGCTACACTCCTACACTGATTGTGTAGGCATATTTCGGTGGTCATCTGGGCGCATAGGCGCAATTGCTAAGGAGACTTTGTGGTGAGCTGCTCCTTATGTTACGATCCACAGCACGAGTCCTCATCTTATGCATTTTTTGTATTTTGTCTATTTTGTATTTTAGACATTCGTCTAATAGTACTTTATATTTCAGTAGATGTTCTCGCACTTGTGACACCAGGGTTTGGGATACTCTAGTAGGTTTTTATAGTTTGGCTTAATATTGTCGCCTTTTATTTTACATCTTACTAAAATTGTACGTACCCATGATTTTAATGCATTAGTTTATTTATTTAATAAAATTTATGTTTTTGAAATAAATAAATGAATATTAATTTGATAGTTTACCGTTGGTTTGACTAAAGGTGATGTTGGGCGCCACCACTGCCTATAGTGGGTTTTGGGTCGTGACATCTTGGCATCAGAGAACTAGGTTCACCTAGGTCTTACGAGTCATGAGCAAGTCTAGTATAGTCTTGCGGATTGGCACACTGACATCTGTACTTATCTTTTAGAGGCTACATGGTTGCTAGGAGAGCTTCCCTTCCTTGATTCCTCATCGTTCGATTTGATTTTGTTGAATCTTATGCCTCCAGTTCCTTCTTACTCATTTGTATGCGATGTTAGGCATTTGTTATCAGTTGAGCACCGACGAGTTGTGATGATGCTACAGATGTAGTGCATGATGTTTTTTCCCTACGTGTGCTAGCAGACCATTATTGTCTCCTTGTGGAAGGTTATTTTGTCGTCTTAGCTCAGTGATAGTGTTGTCCACAGTTGGAGGCTATGCAAAGTGTATTATGATGCATTGTTATCGCACAATACTGGTGTAAATAAGAGGATTCTTAAATATATGTCACGGCAGTGAAGGACTCCAGATGAGGATTATTCGGTTCATGGTTTAGAGATTCAATATTCAATTCCAGTGGAGAGAGGCAATTGAACTATGTCAGTTAAGTCTTTCGTTGACGAAATAGCGAGATTGGATATTTTTGAACTTGGTGAAATTCTTGTTTGTATTGTTGTGTCTTCGTCCTTGTTTGACCGTATAAAGACTCGTTAGTGTGATGGTCTTTATTTGTTTGTCTATGGAGTTAGGTATTGTGAAATGGTACCTAATAAGTGGTTGTAGAGATGGTGGTGTGTGGCGGCTTTAGGGTTGCATCGGTGTCTCGAGTGTTGATGACTAGAGGAAGATAAATTTTAAGGCGGACTGGAGTTGGTGGCAACTTATTAGTTTGGGTTCTATAGATATGGATTATGATTTGAGGCAGTGTTATGGCAACGAAGGATGATGAGGGACATGGTGGGAGGTGTGTCGCGGTGAATAAATTGCTAGCATGTCAAGTATGAACAACAGAGGTCGATTAGTTGCTTGAGGAGATGATTTAACCGAAGTGAGAGTGGCAACGCATCGTATAGATTTTGTGGTAGGATACCCACATGCTTTGAGAAATCATGGTGAGATTATGGTCATGATGAATAAGGGACTACGTCTATGAATTTCATTTGGGATGCAGGCTACTATATTAAGGAAGGTTGGATATGACGGAAAGTAGTTTTCTTGGAATGAAGGGGGTGTGAAAGATTGATTATCGTTTTGGATACAACATGACTTAGAGTTTTGGAGCGTATAGTTGGACCTTCAATTGATGCTAATTGGGAATGACAGACTCTTACAGCTGGTGGACGAGAATGGCTTAGGAGGGTTTGCTGATTTTGTGTTATTTGTACCCAGGGAAACATTGTTGGAAGATGTCAATATTGAATTCCATAGTTGGGCTCTCTCCTGTGAGCAGGTTAGTGGTTGCGTGATTTTGATGACGTTCCTATGAAGAGTTCTACTTTCTACCCAACAGGAGGCATCTACTATGATACAGGCTTGGATCTTGTGAAGAAGATCTTGCAACTCCTAGGAGGTTGAGTGGACGGACTGGTAATTCAGGCTGTGTCACAAATGGTGCAACAAGATCTTGTATAAATTTGGCTGAGTAACGGTGTGAGATCACGGTAACTAAGGAAAAAGAGTCATTGTGGGTTGAGGATTTATGTAATTGTGTCTTAAAGCTAAGTTTGGGAGAGGGTGGTGGAGGCCAGGGTGAGGAGGTCTCTGTCTATTTTCAAGAATCAGTTTGGATTTATGCTGGGGTGTTCGACTATGGAATCGATTCATCTGGTAAGGAGATTAGTAGAGCAGTACAGGGAGAGGAAAAAGGATTTGCATATGGTGTTTATTGACCTTGAGAAGGCATACAATAAAGTTTTGAGGGAGGTCCTATGGAGGTGTTTGGAGGTCAGTGGCATTCTGGTGGCGTATATTAGGGTGATTAAGGACATGTACGATGATGCTAAGACTCGGGTGAGGACTATGGGTGGTGACTCGAAGCATTTCCCCGTAGAGATTGGGTTGCACCAGGGATCAACTCTTAGCCTATTTTTATTTGCCTTGGCGATAGATGTACTATTGCGTCACATCCAAGGGGAGGTGCCTTGGTGCATGCTATTTGCTGATGATATAGTGTTGATTGACGAGACGCTTAGCGGAGTTAACACGAGGTTAGAGGTTTGACTACATACCTTGGAGACTAAAGGTTTCAAACTGAGTATAACCAAGACAGAATACTTGGAGTGCAAATTCAGTGACAGGACTCATGATGTAGACGTAGAGGTTAAGATTGATGATAAAGTTATCTCCAAAAGAGAGAGTTTTAAGTATCTCGGGTCTATGGATGAAGTGGAGGCTCACTTCCGATGTTTTGTATGAAAGGAATGTGCCGCTAAGACTTAAGGATAAGTTTTATTAAGTAGTAGTTCGACCGGCTATGCTGTATGAGGCTGAGTGCTGGCCAGTCAAGAACTCCTACGTGCAGAAGATGAGAGTAGCAGAGATGAGGATGTTGAGATGGATGTGTGGGTGTACCAGGAGAGATATGATTAAGAATGAAGCTATCCGGGACAGAGTGGGAGTAACCTCCGTGGAAGACAAGATGCGGGAGTCAAGGCTAATATGGTTCGGACATGTTAAGAGAAGGAGCATTGATGCTCGTGTCAGGAGGTGTGAGAGGTTGGCCATGGAGAGTTTGAAAAGAGGTCGAGATAGGCCTAAGAAGTACTGGGGAGAGGTGATTAGGCAAGACATGGCTCTGCTTCAGTTCACTGAGGACATGACTGTTGATAGGAGGGTGTGGAGGTCGAGGATTAAGGTAGAAGGTTAGTAGGTAGTTTATAGTTGTTCACCGATAGTCTTAGTAGCATGCATGTCCCTTCATATTCTTAGATTTTTATTATGTTATGTGGTTTTGTTCGCCTCAGGTATTGTATTCCCTGTTGCTATTATTTGGTACTACTTATCCTTTATATCTCTCTTTTCTTTTCTGTTCCATCTTCCCTCCTTCCTTGCTTTCCTCTTCTTCTTCTTGCCCTTCCTGAGCCGAGGGTCTATTAGAAATAACCTATCTACCTGCATTAGGTAGGGGTATAGTCTGCGTACAGACTACCCTCCCAGAACCCACCTGTTGGGATCAAATTGAATTTGTTGTTGTTGTCTTAAAGATAAGTAGAGAAGCTTACGTATATGATTCAATCACGTGGTTATGTGCCTTTACAGTTTCTAGTTATCAGTACATTGGTGGGTTGTTATGACTAAGGGAAGAAAATATCAGGGGTAATTCGAGCAAGGATTTGATTGATGTGTGCTATGTGTAACCTTATAGATATTTGAAGGTTGTGGAATGACTCAGATTTTCTATTTCCTCGAAAATATGATGTGCACGAGAAGTGATTCATTCGATTGCTCTTTAAAGTATTCATGTGTTAATGGAGCACTAGTTGTTTGATTATATAATCGGGACTAGATTAGAATGAGAGACTCTCAATAATAGTTCTAGTCGGCTCGAGATTTAAGGTGTGGTGCTTAAGGATTTTCGAGTTTGTTATGTGGATAAGGATTCGGTTTTGTAGTAGAGTGTGAAGGGTATTTGGAGTATTTCTATATTATCATCGGGTCTGCAGTGTAGTGCTGGAGAAATGGAAGAAACAACTTTTGATTCGCAGAAAATATTTCAGATCGGGTGTATTAGTTGGAGATCCTATTGTGTGCATGAGGGGAGTATAATTAAAATGGTTTATGAGTATAAAGAAGATGAGGACTCGTAATTTGGGTCACTCGGGATGAGTGTTTTTTGAGGCTCATTGTGTGTTTGAATAGAGTGTTGTTTCAAAGGCAAGACTAGAGTAAATCGAAACACATTGAGTCAGTTGCTAGTGGTTTGAATCAGCATGGTTAATGAAGGGTCAGTTCCTCCGGTGTGGTAAGGTTATTCAAGTATTTGTGGCTACACTTGCGGGTTTGGTAGTATCCGTAATTTAATTGATTTGGAGATTTAATTCTGATTGTTTTATTGTGTGGAAATGGGTCTCGAAAGAGTTATGGCAGTTTAGACTAGGCTTGAGGTTGGCGTATTCTGCGGTTATGGGAATTTGACTGCGTGATGCAATTATTCTTCTGAAATGAGTTAAGTAAAAGGTTTCTAGCCGATGAAGTGTTTATTCTACTGGTGGTTCAGGGGCTATGACTCTTCCATAACAGTATGATAAGTGCAAACAGCGGTATGGAAATTGGAAGTTGAGGATCAAGGTTGCGGTTCGATTTTGATAAGAATGTCATGAGCTCGAATGAGCGGGAGAGGATTTCAGATGTTTAGAGTATGCTGACACTATTTTTAGTTAGTCGGGGGATGGTCTATTTTGTGGAAGAATTATTGGGTCTTGAATGCGAATGCTTGACTAGCACTATAACAATAGTATGGTCGATGACCATTGACGCTCAGATTTTTCTACATGTATGCTCTACATCAGATTTGATGTGTTTATTCAGCATATCATTGCTTATGTAGGAGTCTTCAGGCATTGGATGTTATTTCTGCTGTCAGTTATTCTATCTAATACTCTATTATGCCATGTGGGTGTGAGATGGTTTGATTATTTGCACATGTGTTGTGATCTTGTGTTGCTTGTTGTGTTATATGAGCAAGATGGCTATCGAGGTGCATGTCGTTTATTGCACCTTAGTCGTGCTTTAGTTTTTGTAGCGCATGGCACTATTCGTCTCCCCAGGGTTGTATTTATGGACATGGTGTGCTTATGGTCGATATTCAGGCATTTAGTGGTTATGAGCATTATGGCTTGATGGGTATTACCTTTTTATTATCATGTGTGGATCGGGTGGAACGCCGGCACTGGTATGATATTTGGATCGGGTTGCATGCCGTAATGGTGTCATGTTTGGATCGGGTTGCATTCTGCTACAACATCATGTTTGGATCAGATTGCATGTCGCAACGGTATTATGTGTGTAACAGATTGGATGTCAGAATAGTGAGATGTTGAGTACATTTCCTCATACTTATTTTGTGTAAATTATGTGTTCTGCTTCTCATCTTTGAGATAGTTACCTGGTATTTGGTTGGCTGTCCTGTTCGTAATGCGGGTTGGTTAGTTCTTCAGCCGAGTTCGTTTCCTTAATTGGTCATATTTGAGTTGTATCTTGTTGACACATTGAAGTCGTCGTATGAGAGTTTAGGTGGTTTCCGATGTGGCTTGTCAATCGAGCAAATTGTACAGGGCGAGACGAGGTTATCGGGCTTGATATCAGGTATATTAGAGGAAAAATTTCTCTATGTAGTTCAGAATGAGGCAAGCATTCTTGTTGAGCAAAGGAACTCCATCAATAATTTATTTATCAAGTGGTTATGGGTTTCTACACATCTCTTTCAGCATTGCAGTATTGCGAGGGTCGGAACCGGACTTATATGTGTTATGATATATACGACAGGCATCAGATTCGTGAATTTGCAGCTACTGTGATTGGAGGTTATTATATTGAGCATACGAGTTATACGGTGCAATGTGTGATTACACCATAGTTGGATGATCATTTTTTATGTTCAACATGTTGAGATTGATACGGTGTTCGTATGTTAGAATCAGATTTCGTAGAGAATTTTGGATGTTGGAATTTGACTCTAAAGTTAGTGGGGTAAGTTGGCAGTAAGGATCTTCTGTCGGGCTCGAGCTAATATTCTCACATGGGTTTTGGTGGCATGAATAGGTGCACGAGGTGCTAAACAGTGATTTTGAGCAACTCCGGAGCGATTCTTAGCACGTTCAAGGACAAACATATGTTTTAGTAAGGGAGATTTTAACGACTCGATCGATCATTTTGATATTTAGTACATCATTCAGCAGTTTGAGGCCTTGATTGGTTTCACTTCATGTTTTGTGACTTGTACCCGTAGTTGGAATTGAATTTTGGGAAGTTCGGAGTTGATTTAGAAGTAAAATTCTGATTCGGAAGCTTTAAGTTGGAAGGGTTGACCAAGGTTTGACTTTTGAGTAAACAACCTCGAAATTAGGATTTGAATGTTTCATTAGGTTTATATGATGATTTTGGACTTGGGTGTATGTTCGTGCTGAGTATCATATAGCCTGAGAGCGTTTCGGTGCTTAATGTGGAAAGTTAGCATATTGAAGGTTTTAGAATTTTCTAAGTTTGATATGAAGTGGACTTTGGTGTTATAGATGTCTGTTTGGGATTCTGAGCCTTGGAATAAGTTTGTATCATGATTTTCTACTTGCATGTAAAGTTTGACGTCAACCCAGAATGTTTAAGTATGATTTGGGCGTGTTCATCGAAGTTTGAATGTTTGAGAGCTGAAAGAAGGATTTTGATTGTCGATTTATGTTTGTGTGTTACTCGTTGTGTTTCGAGCCTTTGGATAAGTTTGAATGAGGTAATTGGGCTGGTTGGTATGGTTGGACGGGGCCTCAAGTGTGTTCTGGGGTGGTTTCGGACCATTTTTCCTTGCTTTGCAACTGCTGTTGTCTGGTTTTGTTCTTCGTGAACGTGAATGCGAAGAGATTCACGCGTTTGCAAAGAAGGATTTTGCGTTTGCAACTGACGTCTCTTGTTCACGAAGGTTTGGACAAAGCTATGCGTTCGTGATGTCAGCTCCAAGTTCGCGATGAAGAAGTTGGCCTGGGGGGTTTGGATTTCGTGTCCCCGATGGCTTGGACACGTTCGCGATGGGTTAGCTTGGTGAAGCTCTGTGTTCGTGAGGCTTATCTTGTTATTAAATAACTGTACCCACTTTTCATGAATTATGTATACTCTTTCATTATCTCTAAAATGAACAAGGCCGAACATGTGAACTTAGAAATGAACTCTTCACTACTACCTGTTTATAGTGATATGATTTAACCCTTAGTGAGATTGGAATGAGTATGGAGTTAAGAGCTATATAAAACGAATCATGCCATGAGAGTGATCTGTAACTTGAATCCCTATTAACACCTTCTAAGGATTTCAATTGAAGATATTAACTTGTACGATCAATAAAAATTTGGGGTCAATCAAAGTTATTTTGGTATGAATTGGCATTTGTTTTGGAAGTGGGATTTTCATAGTTCAACAGGATTGAATTGGGTTGAGATTCGTAGAATCAATATTGTTTGATGTGATTTTTGCCTCGAGTAGGTCCGTTATGTCTTTTGGAACTTGTTGATATTTGGACGGGTTCCGGGGGCCCCAGAGGTGAATTGACGAGCGGAAAACACCACTTAACTTATGCTAATAAAATATAGTATAGCATAATGTCGTATCTACAGGGATTGGAGTTAAACAATATTCTCGTAGTTTGGAGCTAGATTGCTATCCAAGATGATCAACAATTGAGATTTGTGAGATTAATACTAAAATTAACTAAGAAATCTAAAGCTATTGACTAATGACAATCAAAGGGATGATAAGCAAAGAAGGCTATCAATGGGAGAAAATAGGGGTTTGCTAGGATAGGTGTAAGATAATTATTTGGGAATTAACTCTACTTAATTCACTTGGAATGTTCAAGTGAGTCTCTCCAATTCACTCAATTATTAGTTAAAATATTTAGTAGAAACTCCTCTCTCGATTAAGTCTCAATCTCACGAGATGAACCAATTTAAGCTCTGTGAAGATATGCAAGAAAGCGTAGTGGATTGGTCTTTAGGAAAACCTCTCTCGATTGTCCTTCTAACTAGGTTTAATCAATGATTCAACTAGCCTTTTTGATTACTAAGAATAATTAATGAACTCAACCAATAATATAATGCAAAGATATCACAAGTTATGTCTCTCTCGATTACATGAACAAGTGAATATAGATATTGTAATTAATTCATCCAAAAACAGGTCAATACATAAAACTAGAGTTATAATCCACAAACAAATCTCAATACACCAAATCCATCAAACCCTAAATGGAACTACTCCATAGATATGGATTAGTTCACCTCAAATACAATAAAAATAAAGGAAAACATAAATTCAATCCAAAATCGGGTCTTGAGTGAGGAAGGAATTATGAAATCCTTGTGTTCGTGTTCTTCCAACTCCTCCTTAGCCTCCTTAGGTCGATATGTGTCAAAAGTCCAGAAAATAATATTTTTCCATCTATTTATACCAATAGGGTGAGGCCCAAATGAAACCACCTTCTCCTATCCGAAATAAGACATTGGCTATGTAAATATTACACAGGCGCGCCGCATGGGGTGACGCCCCCTGCAAGGCTTTAGTGGTGAAATCCAAAGACCATGCAATTTCAACAGGCTTCCCAAATGCATTGCTGCGGTGCACCACACGCTTCCCCACGCGTAGCAGCAGTGCAATATTCTCAAAGTGTTGCTTTTTGCTCACTTTTTGATATCCAGATGTGGTTTTCGACTCCCGAACGTGATCCGGCTTAATCTATTGGGCTTTTACTCAGAATCTAAAGCTTTAAATAGCTCAAATTAACTCTATAACATCTACATCTCTTGGAATCACTCCTACAAGGTATAAAATACACAATAATTATAAAACACTAGCGATTAATGCTCAAACACACTTAAAATGCAGTAAATTAGAGTGCAATAAGTGACTAAAACACAAGATTATAGCCTACCATCAAAACCCCACACTTAAACCATTGCTCGTCCTCAAGCAATCAAACTACACTTTATATAGCCACGACCTTTTTAAACAACTTTCCGAACTCATCACACAAAGAATATTTAAAAAAGATTAAGCAAAATAGCGTAACATCCTCGCCTCAAGATTTGACTCAAAAGCATCACACATTTTTTGCAAACCGCTCACTTACTCTAACACAGAGGTCAACGACATTACCTTTCCTTTATGAATCAAGTGTCCTCAGACAACAATAGAGAGTTTTTCCACACAAAATAAAATTTAAGAACAATTAGGAACTCAAGATACAAAGAATTCGCTCACTCTTAGAAACAACATTCATATTCCACAAAAGACGTACCAAAGGCTTGCATGTAGTGTACTTCTGTACTAATAGAGCCATTCAGTGAAGGATCAAGTAGGACTTTAATTGGTTGTAATGTAAGCTGCGGGATGGGTAGGATACATTTAGATAAATGAGTGGCTACACCTCCCAACGTACTTTAATACATACAAATTAACATTCAAAACCCCACACTTATGTCAAACCATGACTCCACCTTCACATTAACTCCCTGCTTCTTTAAGCACAATTATATCAAGAGTTACCACTATCAAGGAATATCTGCACAACAATACAACTATATTTTCTTTCTTTTTCAATTTAACTGTCTCTCGCTTTTTCAAAACATTGCACCTTTATCCTTATTATAATAGTTCCACTCAAAAGCCAAACCAACCACCCACATTTCAACTTTTACAAAGTTCATAACAAATTCAAGTGCTCATGAGAGGTGAAAAGGTTCAAATATAAGGTCAATACAAGCAAATGGGTAAGACTTGTAATGTGGTTGCCAAAGAAAGAGGATTACATGCTCAAAGTGGTTAACTACGATACATACAATTAGGTGGGTAATAACATATATCTGGCTCAACAAAGAAATAGCTATATCACTTCCAAGAATAAATAAAACTACTATTTCGCTTTCCGAACACACCACGCAAGTTCTAGATATCAAATGCAATGCATAGATTAACACAAAACCTCACTCAGGATCGGACTCATCAAGACGCTCTAGTCAAAGCAGTTAAGCAAAGTCAAGATTATACCATTTAAGGTACTTTTACAAGAGTCGAAAACTGAGCCTAAGTGTCACAACTAAAGCACTCACTATTCTCATGGAATAATAACATCAAGAGATATTGCTTCCAATTCAAATCATAGCACAAGGTTTCCTACTCCTACCAAAAACAAAAACTAACTACACCCGGTGAAAACAAAAACCTTGGAAAAGAATGGCGGCACAAAACAAATCAAGGGGGACTAGTTACACAACCTACAAAAGAAATCTTTGTGTATATTTTCCTTTGACTTTAGTCCCTCAAAAAACCTGTCGATGATATCCATCATCGGGAAAAAACGAAAATTTCAAAAGTTTTATGTTTTTTTCAATATTTTTCTATCTCTAACTACTAAAACTAACAAAAGCAAAACTACAACTAATATACATACAACATATAAATATCCCCCACCCCACACTTTAAGTTGTGGCACATCCCCATGACACACAATTAAGAAGCATAAGGGAGAGGAAACTTCCCTGAATATCTAGTCGGGGTCTAAAGCAAAGTCGAGCTCCATTCCTCTTTCCCAAACTAATGCACAGATCCATGCAGATAGATTTTTCTCAGCTTTCTTGGGTTACACCCCAGACTTATCTTTTTCACTTAGTGCAGCCTTTTCTTTTGAGCCCTTCACTTTCCACTCAACACTTGCAACTGATTTTTCCTTTTGTGCCCCTTTTATACATACATCTTGAAAGTCACAGTCTCCTCTGCCACTCTGAGCATGGGTTTTATTTCTTGTATATTTAACATTGCTCTTCCCGTTGCTAATAATGGTCTTCCTAGGATGAGGGGGACCTACTTCTTCTCTTTCAT